AGTTCCAGCAACAGCTGCTTGCTCTTGGTGAGGTTTTGTGATCTGCAGAGCTTCTTCAAGGTGGTATGCCTGGGAGACACGCTAGCTATCTTCTTCAGTCTTGTTTAGGTCCCTCTGCTCCATTGGTTCTCAACCTTCCCAATGCTGTGACCCTTTAATACAACTCCTCATGTTGTGGTGATCATAGCATTATTTTTGTTGTTAGTTCATAAGTGTAATTTTGCTACTGTTGGGAATCATAATGTAAATATTTTTAGATAGGTTTGCCAGAGGGGTTGTGACCCACAGATTGAGAACCACTAATCTATAGGGATTGCTGCCTTGGATTTTGCTGCCTGGTCATGTCTTAGTGATGTGGGATAGCTCTGGTGCTGATAGTAGAAGGTGCGTTCCTCACATTTTTCTAGAGAAGTTTCTGGGTTTGTGGAGGGGAAGGATGGAGTAGAGACTGGCTCTGTCTTAAATATAAAGAGTGTGCAGTCTGGCGATAGCTGATGCTTTTTAAGAGTTTCTCTGCGTAGTCCTAGTTGTCCTGGAACTCACTCTGTAGATTAAGCTGGACTCGAACTCATGCCTACTTCTGCCTCCCGAGTGCTGGTATTAAAGTGTGTGTGCCCCTACTACCTGCCTCAAGAATATTCTTATACGTGGCAGCCAAGTCCTGTGTTGTGCTCTAACCATAATAGGGTAGTTCTTGTCATTTGTCAAGGTTAGTCAATGATAGAGCCATGTCTGTTGACTATGTCATAGCCTTCAATTATAGGCTTAATGCCATCTGCTTATTTCCTAAGTTAGGTAACGGATGATGTTCAAAATAAACAAACAAATAGATACTGTCCCTTAGCTCTGGTAGTTAGAGGTTAAGTTTCTTCCTGTAACTTAGAAAGTTTCATTTCCAGTTTCTGGCTCCTTGCCTTTCTCTGAGTGGCTGGTACAGTCTACCCTTCCTGGTTGAGCATACCTTCTCGCTCTGGCCAAGGAACTTGGTTCTTGTGGGCATACGCATTCTGGTTTAGTGAATCAGTAACAGGACACAGGAAACTTGCCCCCCGGACACAGTCACGTCCCAGCTGACCCTCAAGATAGCGATGGTACCCATCTGTAAAGAAGGATTTGGATGTGAGCCAGGTAAGCCCACATTCCACAAGTACAAAAAAACTGTGACATGAACTAAGGACAGAAGTGTTGCTGCTTCCAGATGCATGCAGTCCCTTTTCTAACATTCATCGTTGATGTTCAAGCTAGCCTGGTGCCACCAGGTAGCTTTCACACCCCACAAGACATCCAAGTGTAGGATGCGGAATGTCGTTTTCCTCACTTAACATGACAGCTTTTTGTTGACAGGCCGCACTGTGGGGGTGTGGCAGGGCTTACTGACCCTGAATGTTTTCTGGAAAGGATGCTCAGTTGGAGAAACTGCCAACATCCTCATCCTCTCCAAGAACCCTTGCTTTGCATCCCAGGAATTAGGAGTACTGCTGGCTTCAAGAAGCACACCAAGGCTCAGGCAAATATTTTGTTGGTCCAGGAGGAGGAAACCCGTCTATTGCAGAGTTATAGGTGGCATTTTTCTCCAGGCTTTAGCACACTCGGGTCTGATGTTGGTCAAGTTAGTGTTTAGGAGTCTGTTTAAAAACCCATTTGTATTTGCTGTTTTCCGAAGTACAGTGCAAATAGTATAATTTGCAGTGCAAAGTCTTTGGCAATAACCTCATGATGTGTATACTATGTTAAGTATTGGAAACCACGGCACCATGGACTGCCCCATACCTCTGGGCCTGTGGTGACATGCAGACTCTGGACTTCCCAAGTGTCGGCGTGCTTGAAGCAGCAGCCTGCATGTGTGGACTATCATCAGTGCCTCGCCCACAGATGCCTGGCCTTCATCCAAAGGGACCCTGCTCTGCTCCGAGCCCTGCGAGCAGCACACCCACACTGCGGCTCCTGTGTGTTGACTATGTTGGACTCTGCCATAGACTGGCCCCCTTGTCTGGCTGCTGAAGTTTGTAATGCCTTGACATGTTGCATTTCTTTTCCATTTGAATGAATAAAAATAAACGCTATGTGTAAATTAGGAATGGGCTGGACTATTCTGTGCAGAACTCATTCTGCTAAAAAGAAAAGTTACAGTGTCAGCTGCAGAGACGGCTCAGGAACCTAGGAAGGCCTAGGTTCAGCTTCCAGCACCCACCCACCCACCTAGTGGATCCAGTGCCTTCTGGCCTCTGTGGGCACCTGCACATACATATGTACCCAAACACACAGACATATCAATAAAATAGAATCAAGTGTAAGCCTCACTCCCTTTCCTGGTCTGTGAGACAAACTCAGGTCATTACAGGTTTCTCATTTCACAGAAGGGAGTGCATGTGTGTGTGCCTGCTTGCATCCTGGTGTAGTGATTTGGGATGTGGGCCCAGGGCCTGTGTAGTTTATTGAAGCTTGCAGCTGGCTCTGAATCATGTTGCATGAGTGCTCAATCTAAACCATTTTACACCCTGCATTTCTAACCCTTACAACTGTCCCATGTGTTAGCAAGACTCGGGCTTTACCAGAAGCAGGAATAGCACGTCTACAGAGCAGCAGGAAGCAGTTTGACTCCAAAGGTGGTGAAAGTCTTCCTTCCAGCCAGCTCTGAGAAACCTGTTGAAGAACAGTGTGACACCTGGCCCACTAGGTAAGTAGACAGTGGCACTGGGTCTTAAGAGAAGCACCTTATAACTTGGTGTCTTCTCTGCACACCATCAGCTTGGACTTGCAGACTTGCTGTTGGGGACTCAAGAGCCAGCCTGTCTCTACTGCAACTGTATTCTCAGGGCCTGAGGGAACATTCTTGCCTCTGGACTACAGCAGAAAGTTTATTGGGGAACTAGTGAAGGGGAGGGAGCAGAGCATGAGAACTGCTTGACAGGCGTTAACAACCTCCTGTAGTGAGTAGCTCAACAACCCCTATGAGGTGGGCAGACACACAGAGAAAGGTTGAGTAAGGTGTGAAGTCAGGGCCATGTCATGCCCCCAGATTTCCACATAATGTTCATATGGTAAAGAGATCACCTGCCTAACAGGCAGGCTATGGGGTAGCCCACATCCCCCAGTTCCCTACCCACTGGGAAGCAGAACTGCAGGGCAGCAACACAGCTGCTATGTAGCCTTGTTCTAGGCCCTTCTGTGAACCCTAATTTCTTCATCTGTAAGGGTGGAGAGCCTAGTGCTTATGCCCTTTAATTCTTTGAGCCATCATCCCAGTCATTTTGTATGGTTTTAATCCTCTCTGCTTTAGATCATGTCCCCGTCTCAGAGAATCTGAGGAGGGGGAAAAAAAATCAGTGTTTTAGCATCTGACTGATTCTTCCAAACCACCTGCCTGTGTCACTTAGCTCACTGTCTCTTCACAAAGGCTCTGGTGTTTGTTAATTTTGGGTCATTCAGACCTGGGCAACTGTGGTGTGTTCTGGACTTAATTGTCTTCAGCCTACAGGCTGTATTTATTAACTGTGAACAGAGAGAGCAGGCTAGGACTTCCAGCTCTTAACTCCCTGCCTCCTGCTGCCCCTGCCACACTGCAGTAGGCCTGTACCTGCAACATCCCTTTTCTGGACCTGCCTTACCAACAGTTTAACGAAGTGTTTCCATACCTCACTAGCCAGCCTTCACCTGTGACACCCAACTCACTCTTCCCAAAGAGTGGCTCTTCTTCGTTCTTTGTCCCCTGCTTGCTCACGCCCCACGTTCCCTGCATGTATGTGCCTGTGCACCCCCTCCCCAATCAAGTTACAAGTGAAAGCAGTGCTTATCCACTAACTGGGGATGTGCCTTCCAGGGAATGTTAAGCAATAACTAAAGATATTTTGGGATGTGTGCTTTTGGCATCCAGTAGGTAGAGACAGCCACACAGGACACTGCAGCACAGCTGCAGCCGCCAAAGCTGTCAGCAGTTGAAATTGAGCATCTTTGTGCTACAGGTGACCCGCTCATTAGCAAATATGCACTCTATACATCTCCAGCCCTCCTGTCCAAGGCCATCTATGGCCCAAACACTGAAAACTATATTTCTCTGTCTAGTGTTTCTGTGGAATGAAGTTTCACGGACTCCCTTTCTCCTCCTCTTTATATCCTGTTACCTCTGTTCACACCCCCCCCTTTTTTTTTTTTTTCCAATTTCTTGACCTTCAAAGGATCAGCAGAAAACTCTCCAAACACAAACTATCTTTAAACTCTTCAGCAGTTCCTTCCCCACACCTTTCAAGGCTTTGAAATGGGCCTCTCCATGACAACCTTTTCCCCCCTCTTTCCTATACATTGTCCTCTTGCTTCTACCCAGCAAATCCTGTCACTGCAGAGTTGTATCCCTCATATACTTTGTCTCCCTTGCAAAAACCCTGTACCTAAAGCAGCGTGTCCCATACGTAAAGTATCTCCCCAATTCAGGATCCTTGTTTGACTCTGTTTCAGGCCGACTGCTATGTGGGCTCCTTTCTCGAATGCTGGTGTATAGCTCCAGGATGGAGATTTCTGTCAAGATAACACTCCCAAACATGGGACTCTTGGGCCTAGAAAAGCATGGAGTTAGTCAGTCTGCAAGTGTGGATCCCAGCAGAGAGAAAAAGGAACCTCAGCTATACACTGCTTTCTCTGTGGCTGAGCAAGTCTCCCTGAGCCAAAGCTGCTCTTCAATTGCTTCCCCTCGGGTACTGCCACCCATCTCTCATCTCCGAGTGGTGAGATGATGTCTTTCCAAGCCTAATCCCACCTTGTGAAAACCTTAGATTTTAAAGCACTGGAGCATCTTGCCTGTCAGCCACTGCACCACACTTCTCAGGGAGGGCCACACACACACACCCATCTCTTGCACAACACAGTCTGTGCCTAATAATATATTCTTCCCCCATGTGCTTGGTACATCTCAGCTCTGCCCGATGTGCATGTGCTGGTCCCAACTGCTGCTGGGAGATGGATGGGAAAGGGACCCACAATCATGAAACTGCTTTTGTACGAAGCAATGCTGTTTGTACCAAAATATTTAATGAATATGCTGTTAAAACAAACAAAAGAAATAGTAATACAATTTTACTGGTTTATATTTCAGTTCATAAAGTTGACGCACAAACTACCCTAGCACAATGTCCACACAATGTCCTAGTTTTAGATGGGCTTTACGGCTGTTTGGATAACTGAACAAGACAGACACAGGAAGTGGTAGGGGTGGTCTGGGGGAAGGGTTGGCCACTTGTTATCTCCCCACCGTAGATGACCTCATCAAGCATTATTAGTAGAGCCAAAAAAGAGAAAACGACTCGTTATTATATACAAACCCAAGCCACCTCCACAGAGCAGAGAGGATGAGCCACTTGTGAGACCACTTGTCAGCATATAAATTAAGCCAAAAGGTTTTGTTTTTAATTAAAAAAAAAAAAAAAAAAAAGGTGCTAAAACTGCTATTTCATAGCTTTAAAGTAAGAATCTGCAGCCCATCTGACCAGTGAGATACACACCTGGCCAGCCTGACAGGGACTCAGTCAAGAAGGTGGGACCTCTCAGTGTGCAGACTCTCATGTATTCAGTTTTTCTCACTTGTACAACCTGCTGTGCAAATGTGAGGGGTGAAGGAGCGCTTGCCAGCTCCTACAATGGCAGGAAGGACAGAGCCTAGCAAACCTCAAATGAAAAGAAGTGCCCCACAGCCATGGATGGCAGTGTACAGAATTAGCAGGTTGTCTGGGATTTAAACGCTGTAGTGCAGGGTACTGGGAAAGGTATTTATATACATACACACACATATATACACATATATATGTACACATGACACATTAAACAAAGAGCTGTCCATGTCATGATTGATTCAGTCTCATAGTCATGTGGCCACTCCAGCCTTTTGAAGTAGTTTTGGCAGCTAATGCTTAAAAACAAAAAAAAGACAGGACTATGAGAGTTGCATAGAATTGCTTAGAAATGTGAATAATGCCAAATTAAAATCTGTGTGCTGTATTGGTTAACAAAATTAGGTGACTTGAGCAGTGACTACCAGACCCTTCTACTCAAAGTGCGTCTCATCTTTCTGGGAGCTTCTGCTGGCACTGACAGATAAGGATTATTCTACTTTCCCCGACCCAAAGGACAGAGAGAGAGAGAGAGAGAGAGAGAGAGAGAGTATGTGTGTGTGAATACACACATATATGTTTATATATACATACATATTTCTTTTTAATAAAGGGTTTAGAAAATAAAAAGAAAATCAACACATTGGAAGATGACCCAACTCTGGCTGGGTGAAGTGTTCTTACACTGAAAAGAGGCCCGGATGGCACTCGGAGGCAGGACTCTGGTGCATGTCCAGCATCAGTTGGGGTTGGCAGCCTGCTGCAGGAGCCCTGGCCCACTGACCTACCAACACGCGATACAGCTCTGACCTAGGTACATTCTGGTCCTAGAACATGTCACAGAGTCACACATCTGGCCAAAGAAGGCAACAAAAGGTGGTGTATTTTCTGGAGGTGTCTGGAGGCAGCAGCTCTTCTCAGCATGTCTCTTTCCCTTGAACCCCAGTTGCTGTCTTTATGGAGCTCAGTGTGCGGTTAAACCAGGTCTTCTTGGCTGCCTGCACCTCACTGAGGGCAAGGCCCAAGTGGTGTTCCAAATCCTGTAGAGACAACAGTGAGCATGAGGATCATGCTAACTCCAGTCACAGCCTTTGCAGAGCCAAGCCAAAGAGCTCTGTATGCTCCTCTAAGACAGGTTTGCAATGCCGAATTTGGGAGCTCCCCTGGTCTGAAATTACAGCCTCCTAAATCACTGTCGCCTGCAACTGTCATCATCTAGTTAAAACTCCTGTAAGTCCAACTCACTTAGTGTGGCCTTTGAGATGCTTTACAGGCTGGACCTGTTTTCATCCTTTTCCTGAGATTCCTCATTAGGCAGGCCTCTCCTCCCTTTGGTTGTGTACTGAGCTGCCCCCTCAGTCCAGAATGCTCATTGCTCTTGATCTTCTGCAGCTGCTCTCTGTCCATTCTCTGACCACAGCTTAGATTTTTGGGTTGCCTAAGTTGTCCTGGGCAGTGCCACAAACCCTCTCCCAGTATCCAGGGCAGAACCTGACAAAAGAGGATGTGTCCAATAACAGCCTGTGGCATGGGAAAGCTGATCTGCAGTTTTAGACCTGAACCAGCTTCCTACCACTCATGGTGCCCCAGTGATAAGGATGGCTGGAGGCTCATATCCATTAGGTCACAGTTAGGTGATGGGTGTTTCATTTGTTACGCCATCATCCTTATGTATACGTAATATTTTTAGTACTTGATATGGCCTGACAAAGATTAGGACTCCCTATTTCTCTTTCTCTCTCTCTCTCTCTCTCTCTCTCTTTTTTGAGACTCATTCTGTAGACCAGGCTGGCCTCAAAACTCAAAAAGATCCACCTGCCTCTGCCTCTGCCTCTGGCGTGCTGGGATTACAGGTGTGCACCACCACTGCTGGGCAATGAGTCTTATTTCTATATGGACACAAGGAGTGTAATGTGCAGAGAGATTAGTAGTTTTTAAATACTTGCCGAATGTCCCACTAAAAACACTTATGTTCTGTTGGTAATTATTAGTATGATAAAGTGTAGATCCTTAGGTCAGTTGAAATGGTTAAACTTACTCTGGTAAGTAATAAGGATTGCACTCTACCCAGAAGGGCTATGGTCAAAGTTTAAATGATGGTGAGGGACATGACATCCCAATCCACAAGTCATTTCTGGGGTTCCTAGTCCATCCCAGGAATCTGATTGCTATGGAGTTTGTATGCACTCATGGCACAGCTGTTACCTGGATCTTGCACTCGGCTTCTACCAGCTGCAGTTTGGTTTGTGCCAGTTCTAGCTCCATCTCCCGCAGTTGGTTCTTGAGTGTCTCCTTTTCTTCATCTGTGTCCTCATCTGGAACCCCCTTGGCTGAGCTGGCAGCCTTCACTCGCCCTTGTTTGTTGAAGAAGTCTCGACAGCGGTCACAGTCATCCACCTTTTGCTGAAGTGAAGAAAACACAGAAGACGGCATACTGTCAGATACTGCATGTGCCTCCGTGTCTCTTATGAGTACTAGAAACGTTTGGTTATCTTGGGAAAGTGTCAGGCAACCTACTTTGAAGACTACCTGGTTGGTGTTCTGTACCAAAAGCAATTAAAAAAAAAACAAACCCTCTTGATCCGCTGTACACCATGAGGAATTCTAGGCTAAGAAGACAAAGCTGCATGCACTCAAAGGATCATATGCAAGGACTGTCACTAATTGGCATACAGAGAAAATGTCCAGTTGCGAGCAATGAGTTATGTTGGTTTGTGCTTGTTCAGGGGAGCTTGCAGGTTCTAAAAACTTGAAAATTTTCCTAAGATGGGAAAATGGGTAAATACTAATGCTGGCATAAAGAACTGGCATACAAAACTGGATATAGATGCTGAAGAAATGCCTCAGTAGCTAAGAGTATGTGATGCTCTTCCGGAGGACCTGACTTTGATTCCTAACACCTGCTTGTAACTCGAGCTCTAGAGGGATACAATGCCCCTGGCCCCCACAGGCACCTGTGCTCATATGCAATTACCTACTCCATACACATAATAAAAAAATAAATCTTCAAAATATATATATATATATATTTCACCAAAACAGGATGCTACTGGGAAGAAAATTCTGGTAATTATATCACACACACAAATCCATATCCCAAATTTAGAAACGTAAATGTTAAAAGAAAGCCTAACTTGGGATGAATGCAATTTTATATATTAATCTAGGATCAGGAAAGGCTTGAAGAATATACAAACACAGTGTTAACTGTGGTGTGAGGGGGTCAACAGCCAGAAAGAACCTACTTTAGTGTGTGGAGAAAGGCCTGAGTTCAATATCCAGGAGAGGAAAAAAGAATTTATCTGTTTTGAGTCATTGTATTACAAGGTTTTTCCTCTTATTTCTCAAATTTGTGGCAAGGTTTAGAAGCACAGAGGGCATATTTAAAATACAGGTGCTTCTGGTCATGATGGAGTCTGCTGCTGGTGAGATCTTTAGCCAGATGTCACTGCTTTGTGCAAACTTGGCACCACTCTGCAAGCAGGTTAGTAGGGATCCTGTCAGTATGCTAGCGGCCTCTGTAAGGTTGGAGAAATGCTTTACAGAGTTTAAAGAAAGTCCTGAGTTATAGAAGACCCCAAACTCTAAACATTAAGAACCCCGCTCAGATCCCTACAGCAGAAGGCGTGAGTGCAGTGGGGAGTCTGCATAACATCAAGTGACACTGTGGCTTTCCCACTGATGCTCAAAATCCAGGCACCCAAGTGTGAGCTCTAAAGCCACAGCACATTTGGTCTCATTCTCAGGTCCTTCCAGAGAAACAGGCATAAGTTGTCGAGCACCAAGCTGAGCCCGTAGCAGGCACTTTACCTGGATTGTTCAGCCCTGCTTACTTGGACCTGCTATGTCAAGGATAGGCGATACCACCAACTAACTAGAGAGAGGGTTATGAAATCTTTTTAGTCAAGAAATCTTACCCGGATTTTCTCAATTTCCACTTTATTGGCTGTCTGCTGCTTTTCCAGTCTTTCACTCAGTTGAGAACAAATCTAAACAAACATAAAACCACAGGCTTGGTTTAATGTCATCTGCATAAGTTGGACTTTGAATAAATTCTGTTGGACAGCAGCTGGAAAGCTGGAATATGCTGTGACTGCATAGGTGAGGTTACAGTAGCGTAGATGGGGACCAATCTGTGAAGTTTTGTATAGGCCACTGTGAGATCCCAGATACAGAAGAAGGGAGTTCAATCTGGTTCTGTGTTGGCAAAAATTCTATCAGCCGTGGACTAAGGGGTTTGCCAACATTCAGAGACACTCCCATCTCCTGACGGCTGAAATGCTCTTGAAATGCGGGCTTTTGTGTACCACCTGTATGCTGGGCACTCTGCAAGCGTGCCTCCTTACAACATCGTTTACAAGTGAGACGAAGGTCAGAACAGGGATTGAAAGCCAGTGTGCTTCAGCACTGAGGCTAGAGTGCATACTCTACCCACCATGTGCCCAGGTAGGCCCTGGTGCAGGAACTCACCTGCTTATAGTCACCAATGATAGAGCTGTTTTTTTTGATCTCTGATTCTGCTTTGTCAAGTTCCCGGCGGCACATTTCCTTTAACTGCACACATTTTAAAAAAAAAGTGAATGTTTTCGGAAAAAAGGAAGCCCGGTTGTTAACTCTATAGTGACAAGCTTTCCAAAAAGTGCCTCCCCTTACCCTGGCTGGACTTGGTACCCCTCACAGCGACCTCCTTCCTCCTCCCAATGAAATACTAATCCTCTGTACTTAAAGCTAACAGGAAGAGGAAAGTCAACATTTCCCAAAATGCCAGTGCTCAGTTCCAACGGGGGCTTCTACTGAAGCTGTTCCATCCAGCCAAGCAGACAAGAGCCCAGGAAAAGATGGCAGTGTGTGGTCAGGCTCATCCCGGCCAGGCCTGCCTGAGATGAGTAGTTGTGAAGGTCATGTGCAAGTACAGAGGGAGAGGGTTGGGCACTTGTACTGGGTCCCCTGTCACCCACTTGCTCTCATAGTATAGTCTATGAAAGAGGCATCAGAGGACAAGGACTGGACATTTTGAGATGAGCCTTCTCCTGTACATGCTAGCATTCTTTTGTTGCGTTCCACAATGATACACAGGAGCTTCTCCCACCTTAATGATGTACTAACTCATGCTTTAGTTTTCCGGAACCGTTACATTTTAAGGAGGAACGTAAAACTGAAAAGTAACTGAAGCCTCTGCCTCCAGGTTCCCTGGTGCCAAGAGAGTACCTCTGTTAGCAAAATTCGGGTGTATGGGATGGGGCAAGGATCCCCTCACCTGTGCAGACTCCTCCTCTAACCGCCTCTTTTCGTCTTCTGCATCAATCAGCTTCTGCTTGGTCATCAGCAGCTCCTTATTCAGTGCATCTGCCTTTTCTTCAGCCTGCAACATCAAGTAAGTACTCACTGTGAGCTCAGAAGGTGAAAAGTCTGCAACACTGCCGAGTCAGTCCACACAGTGGAATGGCATTACCAAGGGCACACCTAGACTGCTAGCAGTGTGTGGCAGTGCAAGGCAGTGGTCAGGGGCTGAGCTTTTAACTCATCTGTTAAGTGACTCATGCCACCTGAAAAGTTACAGAGACCCTTTCTAAGCTCCAGGTTCTCCAGCCAAACATGCATTCACAGTACAATGCCTATACTAGTGTGAACAATAGAATGGTAGCTGTGAATTTTAATAAACAGTTTTCTCTTCCAAGTGGTTGGCTAGTCTTCCGGGCATCCAACTAGTCCTGCATGTGTTCCCTCTAAAGTTATTAGGCAGAGAAGGCTGCTTTCCTCTGGTATGGACTTTGTGTAATTTTGAGCGGCCATATCACCCCCTAGTCTTTTTTTCTAGCACACACAAATGTCTGGTGAATAGAGATCTGAATCTTAGGGGAAAATCCCTGTGGTTAACGACACATATCCCTTTACAGATAACTGAAGAGTACTATCATGCTGGACAAGAATCAAGGAAGCTAGGTCCCTTCCTAGACAACTTTGCCTGTCTTCTCTGACGTTAAGCACTTAGACAAGTTACTGTAGCTGGGCTGGAGCTGTCTATTCCATTCTTGGGCCTTTACAAGCAAACCTGAGACAGGCATAACATGAGCAAACTCAGCCATGAGCAAACTGCTGAGTACTTGCAGACTGTGCAGGCACAAAAGAGAGGTGAATGCTGCCCTTACATGTAGGACTAGTTGATAGCTTACTACTTACTCCTCCATTGCAAATCCAAGAGGCAGTCACAAGCAAAATGAAGACAGCAGGCCACAAGGAAACAGTAAGAGAACACAGCTGGTAGACAGCTGGTAGAGCATAGCTATGACCTGCACCCATTATCAATTATGTGGCTCATAGGAGACCGATACCAGGCGTGGGTCAGCCGGGGGAAAGCTGGTCCAGCTGGAGACTTGGCTTCCACAGGATCTAGGTGAGGTAGTCTCTCCTGACCTCTCACAAGCCAGGTGGCCACAGAACCTGCTCCAGCTCCACTCTGGCTGGTTCAGCACTGTGTCAAAGAAAGGTGCACAGAGCCTACAGGAGTGTCTAGTGGGCTCCAGTCAGTCTACTGACACAAGTGACTCAGATGAAAACATCTAGGGATAACATACATAAATACAGGCTTCTACTTCCAATCATGAAGGGTGAATACAAAGCGTTTACTCTTCCACTGTAATCAGAATTCTGGACAATATCTAGGAAACAACTGATCCCTGGGAAGAAAAAGGAAACCATATACATTCTATCATTGGGGCTTCTATAAGAGAGGCAAACAGAATGTCTGAAAAGGCTAGGGTTCTGGGTGATTCAGGTGGCAGAAGCTGTGGGGGAGAGAAGGAAGTCAGGGCAAGTCTATAAGGTGACCAAAGACCAAGCAAGCACCCAAGAATGCAGTAAAAGAGAAAAAAGCAAACAGGACAGAAAACTAGTTCCTACCTGGATATAACAGACAAAAGCTGTGTTGAGAGGGCAGAAAATATGCATGCAGCACAGACACAATGCGGACTACTGGGGTCTTTTCACAAGGAAGCAAGCACAATGGAAATACATGCAGATGTTCCCACTATATGAAACCAACTCCATAAAGTTGTGAGTAAAATATGTAAATAACAGGGCTATCTATTCTTATAAAAACAGTGCTTACCCAGAATTTCAGAATTTCAAATGATTTTTAAAAAAGTTTGCAGTAAAAATTTTAAAACCTTTAAGATGGTATAAAATGTATAAATTAAATAAATCTTCCCAAATAGAAAGAACTTAAAACGAACACCAACAGAACAAACACTACAGAAAAATGAGGAAAACAAAAGCTGGCTTTTCAAAAGATGAACCTTACTGATAAACATCTACTTAGGGGGCAGGAATGGGGTGGGGTGGGGGTGGACATAACCCAGTATCAGGAGTACAGAGGGGGCATTGCTACAGATGTATAAACAGCAGAGCACCCCAGCTTCAGATCCCCACACTTGGTCATCAAGGACAAGGTGCTAAAAACAAAGACCAGCCAGGTGGTGCACCCCTCTAATCCCAGCATTTGGGGGAACAGAAACATGGGAACCACCCTGAACTCCAGGTTAGCATTGGCTATTTAGCAAGTACTGAGTCAGCCAGGGCTACACATTGAGATTAAAAACAAATATAACCAATTCTAAAAGTGGTCACACGAAGAGTTAGAGACATTTGCTGATTTGTATCACTCCATTATCCAGGAAGTCAACTCACAATTTCCTGGAAAGTGAGTTGTAAGCTTCAGGACTAAGTTCACCAGATGACAAGTTCAAGGTCTGTCTGAGCAATTTAGTAAGCAATTTTCTCAAAATAAGAAAAAGAAGGCTCAGCTGCAGCTCAGGAGTGGAATGTCAGCCTGGCATGTGTGAAGCCTCAAGTTCAAGCCTCACTATTATAAAACAATACCCTAAAACAAGTGTAAAACCCTACTGGGATTTATTATAGTAACACAACTAGTTTACATTGTAATGTAACAAATTAACAAAACTAAGAAAGCACACTTAGCCATTATAACAGATGCAAGGAAAGTATGTGGTTATGATAAAACTCAGCAGAGAACAGAGTAAAAGTTTCTCCACTCCTCAAAATGGCCCCAAGAACTAACAATGATGCCATCCTACCTACTCTCTACCCTGGGCTGCTCTGAAGACCTTAGCAAGTGTGGAAGGCAGTGGAAAAGGCAGAAGAACCCAAAGTTACAGTCTTTATTCAGAAATATAATAGTGTGTATATGTGGAAAGAAAAAAACAAACTAAAAACAAAACCAACTAACCAAACAAACAAAAAACCCTGACTATACTAATCACAAATTTTGGCAAAGTCAAAGGCTACAAAGTATGGCACAAAACCACTCTGCAAAGATTAGCAATCAACAACTGGAAATTAAGAACAGATCACTAAAACAGACTCAGACAGGGGCATGGCTTGTGTACGGCAAACCACACAGCAGTGCTGGCTGGAACTGAAGGCATGCTAATACAAAGGTGGCACAGCACGGGCGGGGACTCAGTTGTTGCTCATATGTCAAGTCTCTCCATAAACTGACAGATTCCAAGAAACCTCACTTAAAATTCCAGAAGGCATCTATTTCTAGAACCCTTTATGTCCTTTGTATTTTGGTAGAAGTCTCTATTAAGTGAGTTCTAAAAAGAATAAAGCCAGCTGACTTAACTGAGCTCGTTTTAAGAATTATAAAGGTCCTATAATCAAGACAGTGTGATCCTGGCATAAGGCTGGAGCAGCTAGAATGTCAGTCACACCAACCCATGCAGAGTTGGCTGATCCTTGGGGAAAGGAGCTGACATGTTGCAGAAGTCTAGTAACCTGGGACTCACTGTGTTGATTTTTATTCTAGTGACAAACTGTCTCACGGCAGAGAAGCAACCGTGCTACAGGGACTGAGTCACAGTCCCGTCAGCCCCATGTCAGGGACCTTCTTCCTCACAGTCCAAATGTTCACTCAGAGTTATCACTTCACTGCACAGAGGAGAAGCTTTTCTGGGGTCATCAAAGAGTTAAATGACTGGAAAATTCTCCACAGCTGTGTAAACAATACTACAAAGAGGCAGATGACGACAGAATCGATAGAAAGGATTCAGATGTGAGGAAAGAATCAAAAGGAATAAACTTCTTTTAAAAACTGAGCCTCTGAAGTCGAAAGAATGTGAGAGCGCTCCACCTTCTTCATATCACATTCAGTCAGGGTTTGGAGCTCATCAGAGAAGATGAGCTTGAAAAGGGTGTCTGCTCAGAACCCTGGGTGCTGGCAGGGGCTTCTGTAGTCAGCCTGCTTAGAGTGTAAGCACTGGATTCAGGCTGCCTGGGTTCCACTAGGAAGGGCTGTGCTCTGTGACTACCTGTGTAAGATGGTCAACCTGCTTTGCTTCCATTTCGTGACCAATGAGAGGGGATCACAGGCCTGTATACCAGGCTGTTCTGAAGGTTTACAAAAATGGTGTTACAGAGTACCTAAAACAGTGCATAGCACCTAACAATGCTAAAGAGATTGCTAGCTCTGACAGATCAGACTCACTAACCTTCCTTAACTTGTGCTTGCACTGTAGTTTAGACATCTAATCATAGCTCCTTGGCTAATTCTGTATCTATAATGGAGACTGTCTGGTATCACAGAAAAGATCTCAGGCATGCCAGTGAGGTCTGAAGCTCTCTAGTTTTCTGGATGTCTTCATCCCTCTACACCTCATAACTGTTAAAAACAAAAGTCTCAGCCTGGTGTAGAGGGATGTTTGAACGCAGAGGCAGGTGGCTCTTTGTGAGTTCTAGCCAGCCTGGTCTAAGTCTACAGAAGTTCCATAGTAAGATCCTTCCTGTCTCTAAAGAAAGAAACAATAACAAAACTCATTTCCTCCTTACAGGGCAGAGGTAAGCATGAGAGACGAACAGGTCTATGAAGTGCCTGTAAACTGTCTGGTGTCACAGGACATGAGTAAACAGGAGAGACCATTACGGGTTGCAGTGTTTCTACTTCAGGTCTCAGGAATGTAGCCTAGTTTTCTGACTAGTGTCAGGATGAGCCAATCTAAAAAGAAGGTTTATAGCTGCTCTCAGGGACAGGCTTTAAGAATGTAAGTCTAGGGGCTGGAGAGGTGGCTCAGTGGTTAAGAGCACCGTCTACTCTTCCAAAGGACCTGGGTTCAATTCCCAGCACCACATGGTAGTTCACAACTGTCTGTAATGCCCATTCCAAGGGATCTGACACCTTCACACTAATGCACATAGAATAATGTTAAATGAATTAAAAAATATATTAAAAAAAATAATGTAAGTCTAAGTGGTGGCACACCCCTTTAATCCCAGCTCTTGGGAGGCAGAGGCAGGTGGATCTCTGTGAGTTCCAGGCCAGCTGGGAAACCCTGCATGAAAAAGAAACAGAAAACAAAACAAGAATGTAAGTCTGCAGTGTACCTCAAACCACTGATGACTTGGACCACAGGCTCTCACAGATTAAAAATGTAATAGCTCAAGCTGAGCATCACCTCAGGCTCTGGCCAACCTGCTACTTCTGTACATTAGGACTCTCTTTCTGATCACTTCCTTTCTGTGCCATCCACAGTTTGGAGGGAAGTTTGAGATGAATTCTGTAGCCCTGTTCAAACATTCCCTGCTCCATTTACACCCAGCTCTCTCCACTCTGCAGGCAGAAATGCCTGAGCAATGAGAACAAAGTGTGCAGGCTTACTCCTGACAAACAAGCAGGCCTATGGCAGAAAGGCCGTGAGAGCCCAGGTGTTGGTCATGGAGAGCTAATGGCCTTGCTGTTCTCGCTACAGCTGGAGAAAGGAGCCTTCTTGGTCATGTCTGATGAGCATGTGGAAGTCTGAGCCTTTCGTTCTTTGTAGGCTTTTTTTTTTTTTTTTTTTTTTTTTTTTGCTACAGCATGCCAAATTATGCAATCCCAACTCTACCTGTGCCACAGTCATTATTCTTCGAATCAAGATTTCAGTGTCCAAGGCGCCTAGGAAAGCAGACTAAGTGATTACAGACCAGGCCTATCTGAAAATTTTAATTTCTGAGAAAATGAAAAGGGCAGATACTGCCATAGTTTTAATGTTTTAAGGCTCCGAGAAACAAACAAACAAACAAACAAACAAACAGTGTTTTCAAGGAAATATACTATATACATTCTATTTGTATACTTCAGTGGATGCCAAAGACTTTCTGAACTTTATACTCTTCCTAGGGATATAAGAAGCCAGCAAGCCCTTGGAAAGCCTGAGTATATTGCTAGAATCTTGGCAAATCAACAAGAAGTCATCTCAGGACCCTGGGAGGTTAAGTCCAGGGGCTTGCAAAACTGTAGTTCAGCCGTCATATACAACTTGACACTAATTTTTATGAATAAATTATTAGGAAGCAGCCATTCATTCATTTATCTATGAACTACTTTTGTGCCAATGGAAGAATCAAGTAGCAGCAACAGAGACCACAGGCCCTCAAAACCTTAAACATTCCCTATCTTGCCACAGAATAAGTTATCCAGTCCTAAGCCATGAGTGAGACTACTTCCTCTAAGGGAAGAGAAAAACAAACAGAACATGCCCAGCAGCCGGGTCGCTCAGCACTGAATGGGAGCCCCTTGAGCAACGGCGCTCACAGGCTCACCGCAGGCAGAGGAAGGGAACCTCTGCACCTCTTCCTACGGATGAGGGCGTGCTAACAACTGCTGCTAACCAGAGCAGGAGGAACAGTAAAAATAACCCCTCCTCCCCGAAACCACACCAACCACTCAACGTCGGGAAGCAGGCAGGACACATGAGCACAATGAGAGAACACAGAGAAGAGGGCAGCGCACTAGCACAGTGGAGGCCCCTTTAAAGGAAGGCTGACAAGCGAGCTGGCTCCTATGGAAATGGCTGACAGAAACTATAGCAGTCAACACTAAATTTAAGGGAGGGTTCAAGTGTCCCTGGTGTCCCTTCTCTTCTGAGCTGTCACACTTACATTATCCAGGTCCTTCCGCAACGCGATCTTGCTGGTGACCAGCTCATGAGCTAAGTCATCGTTTTCCTGTTCCAATCTCATGTTAGCTTCTTGGAGCCGCCTGTTCTCCCGCTGTAGGAGGGGAAGAAGTTGGTTATGGACATAAAAACAAATGGAATGGTAATGACAGTTTCTCAAGAGCTTAGCTTCAAAATGAGTCTTCAAGTCCTGTGAAATAAAGAGACATGGCTGGTCTGATGGTGTTTCTAAACAATTTCTGATTTTCTATCTCCACAAACAAGTACGTAACTGACTGAAATGTCTTTTGTCAAGCTGCTATCTCTGACTGCCTAAGGAAAGAGCATCCAACCCGGGCAGTTGGATGGGAGAAAAACAGCTCTTAATTTCTCATTTGTAAACTCAATCTGAAAACCAGTCTTGAAACAGTGGAACTGATTTTTTTAAAAATTCAATAAAGACAGCTATGGGCACAAGTCTATGAAGTAAAAGGCTGTAAAACAAACCTCAAATCGCTCGATGGGGTCTTCCTGCTGGGCCTGCTGCTCCCTCATGGTATGATACTCTTTTTCAAACTTCTTCAGCTTCTTCTGGCTAATCTGCCGAGGAAGTCACAGCACAGATGAAGAACCTGATGATGGTGGTGCTTACTGCCGCTGACCTGGGCAGACCCAATTAATGTGGACATGGCGTTTACGTCTTTGGGATGGAAATCTTCATAAACAAATATAGGCCTAAGACTCTGTAAGGGATATTTGGTTCCCAAAGTTTTACTGACAGTATTCTCTGGAACACCTTACAGATGGCTTCGGGGCTCTAGTAATAATAATAAGCCACCATTTTCTGTAGCACAGACCAGCAGTGTTGCTAAACATCTAAGCACCACCCTACCCCCAGGCACACTCATCTGAGGGATCAAGAGGCTCTGTTTTACGACTAAAGTCGTTAAGAAGGGATTGTAGTGCCGGGTGGTGGTGGTGTAAACCTTTGGTTTCAGCACTTAGGAGGAAAAGGCAGATGGATCTGAGGCCAGAACAGCCAGGAAAACCGTCTCAGAAAACAAACAAAAAACAATCAACCAAATTTAAAAAAATAACAAACATAAAAAGGAGGAGAAAGAAGAAGAAAGAGGAAGAAGAGGAGGAGGAGGAAAAAGAGGAAGAAAGAAAAAGGAGAAGAAAGAAGAGAGAGAAGGAAGAAGGGGGGGATGGGAAAGAGGAGAAGTGAT